TTTGAAACACAAAAAAATAACATGAGACGTCAACAGCCCCCCAAAAACTTTTATCTGAATTTGGTTCTAAAATAAATAGTGCACGACTTCATAATTTATCACAAAAACTACATTTAAAACCTGGTGAGTATTTAATTGCAATGCAAGAAATAGCTAGTCATGGTTCTATTGATGCTTCATCCATTATTGATTATGCAATTAATGGAATACCTGATGCAAATAGCAAAAAATTTATTTTGTATGGTTGTACAACTATTTCTGAATTTAAAGAAAAATTTAAAATTTATGAGAAAATTCTAGCTCCAGATACAAAGAGTTAATCAGGTACCAGTATACAAAATAAAGCATACACTATACCTGGTAAGAGTAAAGAAACCAGCTGTTATAATTGTGGAAGTACAGGTCATAAATCAAACTCATTTAACAAGAGCAGTAGCGGGTTTAAGTGCTTTAAATGTAACTTATTTGGACACATAACCGCAGATTGTTCTAAAACATCTCCTAACAATAACCAAGATGCTAAAACTGTTACTGCAGTTGGCTCAAACTTCTAAGAAAGAAATGCATAAAGTAAATTTAGGTAATTTGCAAAATAGATACTGGTAGTCATGTAATGTTAATTCGAGAAGATAAAACATAAGAAGATAGGTTACCCTGAATTTCAGCCGGCAAACCTGCAATTAAACCTATAAAGAGATTTGAAGGGAACCTGAAATTGACGGTTCTTCATTTAGATCAAATATCTGTGTTACCACAGTTTTTTTTTTTATAACTTAAAATTGGTACAGATATTATAAGGAAAGGATAATTAACTGTAAATAAAAAGGCAATCAAAATTTAAAAACTGCAGCCAGACAACTATTTGATGTACATTCCTGATGTTTATACCAATGAGGGAATCCACATTAAAGATTGAGTCCGATGAGGTGAAATACTGCAATTAGTATTAAATTATAAGCCAAATAAAATAAAAATGTCTGCTCTGAAGATGAGATTAGTGTTTGTGGATATGCTTCTGGTTCACTGTGCACTGTTTTCCCTCTACAGAGCAGCATGATATGGATAAAAAGATTTCTGAGTGGTTAGATTAACAAATCATAAAACCAAGCTGTTCTGATTAGTCAAATTATGTTGTGTTAAGAAGAGGAAAAAAAATGGTTCATGCCAGCTATGTTCAGCAAGAAAGTAGAAAATAGGCATCTTTAGTAACAAAAGATGGACAGTTCAAATTTTTGAAAGTTCCCTTTGGTCTTGCTTAACAGCCCAAGCATTTTCTAAAGATATAGTGTCCAAAAACTGAAACACATTTTACAGACTACATCAGAATATGTATTATAAATAAACACTGAAAAATGTCAATTTTTAAAATGTGAAATCAAATTTATAAAATAGATTGCGCAAAAATTAGAATAATTTATAGGTCACAAAATTAAAGGTCTCAAATTATACCCTTTTTCTTCTAAAATCAAAGTAGTAATTAACTTTCCAGAGCTTAATTGTGTAAAATATGTTCAAAGTTATTTAGGTTTAACAGGTTTTTTTTCAGAAAATTCATACTTAATTATTCATTAATTGCAAAACCACTTAGTGAATGGTATCAAAGAAAGATTCTAAATTTAAAATTGAAAATACAGAACTTATTGCTTTTAACAAATTGAAACACATCTTGTCATCTGAACCTGTTTCGTGTGTGTATTTATAATTCAAAAGAAGAAACTGAAAGACATTCTGATGCTGGTGCTAACAGTTATGGCGCAGTCCTGCTACAGAAATCCTTAATTGATAATCAGATGCATCCACTTTATTATATGAGTAGGAAGATAATAGATATTGAACATTATTTTACATTTTGTAATAGATAATACATTTTGTAATACATACAGAACATTTGTGCTATGGATTAAAAGCAGTCATATTATAGAAGCTCTAAAAAACTTTTGATATATGGTATTAGATATGATATATCCCATTTAAAATCATGACATACTGTAATGCATTCAAACAAACTATGACAGGAGAGGCATTAGTACTAAACTATCTAGATGGGCATTAATGTTACAAGATTATGATTACACAATCAAACACATATCTAATACCTGTAAGCAACATGTTGACATTCTGAATAGAAATTATGTATGTGTACAGATGTTCAAAATGGTGTAAAATTTAAGATTATTCAAGCTAAAGAAACTGATGAAAAGATAAAAGCTATAAAAGAAGTTTTGAACCCTAAGTAAGCTGCATGAAGATTACTGCTTAGAAAATTACTTGCTTTTCAAAGTGGTGATTGAAAATGAAGTTGTCAACGCTGAATTAGTGCAAGAAGAAACTCAAGCAAACATAACACACTAAGATTCAAAGCCATCGAGGAGCAATGCCACCACTGAAGCAGATTTTGAAGAGAAGCACTCCCCCGACAAAGAGTCTATTGCTAAACATGATGAATCGAATACTAACTTCACCCAAAAAACTTCAGTTACATTCCCTGCAACAGACAAGGGAAAAAAAAAAAAAAAAACTACTGAAAAGGCAGAAACTGCAGAGACCACCAAAGCGGAAAAGGTTGAACTGACAGATGGCTTTTCGACGAAACTGCTTTGTAAAATATTCCAGACGAGGCTGCCATGACAAGGAAATATATGTAAGATATGTTAGCAGAAATTTTACGATGTTATAAAGATGTAAGAACTTTATACTTTTTTTTAGTATGATGAATTTCCTTCAAATATTCATGCTTCTATCGTCTATTTTCATAGTTTGTAAAGATCATTTATAATCTTCATTAAATGTTCAAGTTAAAATGTCAGATCTAGTGTATGTATTTACCCCTTAATCTCAAATATAAAGGTAAAACAGAATCTGCAATATCTTAAATCATAAAACTTTGACACATTAAAAAATAAAGAAACTCTTCATCTGATGATTATTTTTTACTATGGAAAAATATACTACAGATATCTGCATACAGAAAGAGTTGTTTTTGTGAAGGATATGTTAGAGGAAAGTGGCTCACATTTTTATTACCTATGCAGAAAATTATTAACATTTCATGCAGCTGGTCTATTTAATTGATTAATAACCACATGCCTAATGATAGGCTTTTTAAGAAAAAAGGTGATTTTCAAAACTTAAATCAATGCTAATTCTATTTATCAGAGAAGAGAATGCTTTAGTATGTCCAAATTTAGGACAAAGCATTTTCTAATTTTTAATTTTTTTTAACAAAATAACCCCATTCTGGATATACTATGTGGCATACTGAAAGCCAAGTACTCATTAAAACATTAACAGTTATATATATATATACAACATTTTGCTTGACATATACAGATTTACAAAACCATTTTTAAAGTGAAAGTTTTCAACTACTAGAATATACCTAATGAGATAAAAACACCCTGCTTTCAAAAGGCTTTTTTCACAATCAATGCCTTCCGCTGACAAAGAATCAATAATTTTAAAATCTACATTAATTAACTCAAATTTTGTAAAGGAACATAGTTTTTGTACATATTCTGAACTAAAAGACATTTTAAAATATCAGTGTATAACACATATGAATGCCAAATTTTACTCATAAATCATATCTCTATATCCGTTCCAATTGTTCAGAAAATATTATCTGAAGCAAAACAAATTTACTTTTTAAAACAAAATGAAACTAAAATTACTAATTAATAAAATAATGTTCTTTTCTCAGTTATAAACATATGTTTACTCTTCCCATTCATTTAAAAACATAAACACTTTCAGATACGCCTAATAATCTTGCTAAAATAGAATGAAATTCAACACTTCTACCAACCATTAAAAATCCTATCATGTGAAGCTTCTTATCTTAACTTTCCAGCATGCGTGTGTCGTTATTTTACCATTTTTGGCACGAAAAACGACAGAAATTAGTGAAAATTGATAATAAATTTGTTAAGAAATAAAATATTAATCTTATTATTGCAAAATACAAATGATATCAAATTCAAATATAAGTAAATTATTTTCAAGTTCTTATGTTAATGAGATGAAATGCGTATTTCATTATAGAACATTTTAAATTTATTATTTAATAATGATATTTTAAAATCGAAGCTAATTTTAATATTCATCAAAGCAAGTATAGAAAAATAAAAAAGGAACACACCTTGGTAGGAAAAAATTTAAGTTTAGTATTACTTACTTCTGCAAAGAAATTTACTTCTTACTAGTTACAAAAACGCACTTTAAAACAAACTTTAATATTTTTATTTGTTTCTAAAAAATATAAATAAAAGAAAATAAGGAATGAAAATTGCTATTGTTCTTCCATCCAAAGGTTTCCTTGTCTTCTTTTTCTTCATCAGATAATTCTTGAAGAATGTGAGCAAAATCAGCTGGTTACACATATTTTTTTGCCATGAAAATGGATATAAAATTTACAGAGCCAAATGTATTCAAATTAAAATAATGCACGGCAGTTACTAACAAAAAATTACAAAATATTTAAGAAAAAAATATTTTCCGAATTTTCACCCACGAACATGGACGTGTCATAACTTTTACAAAAAAGCTGCCACGTGGCACAAATGCCCAGTAAAAAAAAAAAAGTCAAATGACTTTCTATTGGCACATTCCATGATGTGGGGAAGGGTAAAAAGGAGGAATAGAAATGACATTAAGACGTCTCAGCTTCGATATGCGAAAAATGCGCATTAAAAGCTGAATTTTTTGTAAATTTTGCGCATAGGTGCAACAATTCAGTACAAACGTCTTGCAGTTAAAACCAAAGAACCTTTTACCTTGAGCATGAGTTAACAGTTCAGTAAAGACTTTATCAGTTTCAAAGAAGGTACTTAGAAAATTAAGAGAAACTGACAGTTTTTTATGCAGTTTTGAATACATTTTCATTACCAATTAATTAGTATATAATCCAAAAAATTCTTTATGAATTCCACAGTAATTAATAATGAAAATTTTTGCAATACCTCTGGTGGTATATTGGATGGTAATGTGGCTAACAACTGCGATAATTGTGCAAAATTTGCACATTTCCTTTCATTTACAGATCCATCTACTTTGACTTTTTCCAAAGAGCCCTTCTTGTAACCAAAGGCAGTTTCAAGAGGCATTAATTTGAGGTCTCCAAATTCAATCATAACATCTGAAAATTTAAAACTGATGTTAGCATAAAATTAACGCAGTGTTAAAAATATACTTTTACAATAAATTGTTTTACTGAGATTCATACTTAAATATCACTCTCAATAAAAATTAGTCATTCGAAGGACTTAACCTTAATAAAGATCTTACAATTGACACATTAAAACTGACAGCTACTAAATTACCACATAAAATCAGAAGTATAAATAAATACTTTTATAGAGATTCAAATTTTCTGCCTGAGATTTTGAAGTGTGTTAAACTATTGTTCTATTATTAAATTTATTTAGCAAGTCATTTCCTGCTTTTAAGCAGATAAAAATTATTTATTTCAAAGAATACTAAAAGAACTTCCTGGTAACGAAGATACAATAAATTTACAGGATTATTAAAAAAAGCAAAAAGTGATAAAAAAATTGTTCAGAAATTAAAATACCTTTCATTGTACCCATTATAGCATAAAATGTGCTTCTTTAATATAAAGATTAAAATATACGAGATCTCCTCCTCTCCCTTTAAAAATAACCAAATAAAATTTCATACATAGTTAAGGCACAGAATTATCTGTTTATACCCTCTCCTCCCTAAGAGATTAAGCTGAACTAATAAGGAGCAGATTAAACAAACTATGCAATCAACGGTATCACCAAAATTTCAGAACAGTTTACAAAAAAATGTTCTAAAAAATGAAAAAGATATTAAAGAGAAATAAAATAAAAAGGATGCGATTTTAAAAATATCAGAAAATTACAGCATAGGATTTTGTTTACGAAAAAATTATAATAATAAAAAAAATAATTTTATACATACTTGAAATACATCCTTTAAAGTTAACATAATCACCAGCATTAGTTATACTTTTTGGCAAACCAGATATATACAGCACATTTGATGTACCCTCAAATTTTTCTGTAGAAGTATCAACTACTTGGATGAAAGGATTGTAATTTTTGCCATCCACCTGATAAATATCCAAATCAAACTTAATATGCTAAAAGCAAATCATACAATAGAATAATATTTCATTTGCCAAAAATAAATGCGTTGAAAACACTACTAGAGTATACAGATAATCAAATGAAAAGTACAAGAAAATCCATTAATACAATTCTTTGCTTGAGGAAACTTAATACATTGGTTACCAAATTAGCATATGTTAAATTAAGAAGAAATTTGTTTTATATAATTTTTTAATAATAATATCTATAGGGTGTTTTGAAACTCATGGGCAAAAATTTTAAGGTGTGACAGAAAACATCTAAACAAGTAATTTTCGACATACAGAGCATGGATGGAGAGCACGCGATGAACCGCTTGATGGCACTGTAATGGAAAGGATAAAGGACACGTTTTCTTACACATCATCATTTCTAGCACGGATTTCAAAAGGCATATCGATATGTTAAAAAAAAAAAAAAAAAAAAGGCAGACATGCATTTTATGTATGGTCCTGCATATGGAAATGATTTGGAAGCCAAAAGAATGTACAGGCAGCAATTTCTGAGAAGACACACGCCAGACGGAAAAACATTCAAGCGATTGCATCAGTGCCTGTGTGAAATGGTATCCTTTGTCACTGGCATGCATGATATACAGAGTGGCAGGAGTGTATGGATGCCACAAGTTGCAGAGGACATTCTGCAAATAGTGGAGGATCATCCAGATAATTAGCACACGAGAGGTTTCCTGTGCTGTAAATATGGCCCACTCAATTATTTGGCGAGTATTACGGGACAAAGGATTACACCTCTATCCTGTACAGAAAATGCAAGCCTTGATACCTACAGATTATGCACCACATGTCGAGTTTGCACTTTGATTTTTGCAACAGTTAGCAGTGCAGCCTGATTTCACTTCACATGTCTGCACCTGATTTCACATCACATTCATGGATGAATGCACCTTTACTTGGGCGGCATTTCTAATATGCCTTTTCAACGCCCCTCAAATTTTTTCCCATGAGTTTCAAAACACCCTGTATACAAGTGTCCTGTTTGGCTAATACATATTATGTGTATTTATTTAGACACAAATGGCACTTAATATTGTTAAATGCTAAATATGCAATGCACCAATCAGAGCACAATAATTCTCACATGCATGGTTCTAACCTTATTAGTGTCTGAAATTTTGAAATATTTTATATCTGTATACATGTCCCACATATTTCAGCCAGAAAAAGATCAATAAATAGCCAATGAATCCAGTATGAGTTTGCTCAGACATGTATTATTATTGCCATCAAAAGCTTAATTTTAATTTTTATGAATGGAAGGTTGTTTCAACATGATTCCACAAGGCAGAAAACTATAATAAAATGTACTTTTATATCAATCCTTTTACATCAGGCCTCTCGGCAAAAAACAAAACACTAAATTCAAAATTACATCACCAAAATATCAAAAGCTCTTGCAGGAGAGCATCACAACTATGTTGTAACATAGGGTCAAGATCTGGACAGATGACTAAGTGCTGCTTATTCATAGTGCCTGTTTTACAAATATAGCATTGGTTATTAGTCAGTATGCTTATTTTGCTGAGATGTTTGGCTGAGCAGTCATGCCATGCACCCAGTCTGAAATTAGCCACAATATAGCCTGCAATTGAACACATTGCAGTCATTCCTAATATTCTTCCAGAGTACTCTTTCGTTTAATTGATAGTTCTGTGTTGTAAGCCAACATAAGATTCTCTCGAATACTTCTAACAGAATCCAAACGAATGGAACTCTGTCCAATAAATAACTCCATACCCCTCTTTGCCAAGAGATCTGCTTTTTCGTTATCATCAATACCTACGTGGAATGGTAGCCAGTGAAATTCTACGGTTTTACAATTCCTATTTAGTTCCTGATATCTCACTATGAAAACAGTTTACAATATACAGTTACAGCAGTATTTTCATTCTAGAGCCATCTGTAAATACACATATCCATTCTGGTTCAGGATAGTTATTGTTCAATAGTGACAACGCTAACTGGCTCATTTATCATGCAAGTACATTCTGCTTTTGATGCCATAATATATCAGAGTCAAGGTTTTCTGAAATTAAAGGGTAGATATCTGAAAGCAACAAAAAGTGTAACATAACTGATACAAAACCCTCATAGTGCTCACACAGTAGGGAAAAATAACAACAAAAAAGCATTTGGAGAAATATCAGTAAATATGAATGTTCATATAATGTGGAAAGTTAAAGAGCTAGTTCTGTTTGTTTATATTATGCTTTCCCTCTTCCTCCACAGCAGCTGATAAGCAAAATACCAAAGTCAGGCAGAATGTGAACAAACTCAAAAACAGGATCCTAAAACTATTTTCAGTTAAAAAATAATGGACACAGGGTCCCATCTAGTGGACTTTAAAAACTGTTTCAGGTTGAAATGCACATATGCATTAGCTGTCCACATTCTTCAGTCATGCTTGGGAAATACAGCACGTGACAGCCATTCATACAGAATGCATATTCATGCCGAAAGGGTTAAAAATCAAAATATTTAAGATTATTTCCTAAATTTCAATGTTGAGAAAAGAAAATGTTAATAAGTAAATCTTTCAATTTTTTTTTCATGAATATATGCTCAAAGCCTGAGATGCTTAAAAAGAAATAAATATATGAAGTATCTGTAAGAAATATTACACTGCAAATTATATAAGATCTTCATGGGAAAAAAAAGGCTTACAAAAATTTGTGTTTATGTTTAACATGGAAAAGAAAAACGAGCAAAAGAAAGAATAAAATTGGCAACAAGAAAAATTTTGAAGACTCTGTGGATAAACATTGCTGTACTGAAGTTGATTGGTTGCAAAGGGCCTGAATCTGTGGCAGAAAAAGTTCCAAAAAAGGTTGAGGAATTTAAATAAATGAGTGAAATGCGTCTTACTCGATTTAGAAGATGAAAAACATTTAGAAAAAAATCTCTGTCATAAAATTTTTAGTGAAATTATTGAAGCATTTTAAGAAATCAATGAAAAAATTTCTAGAGAACAAAGGTATTCTGAAAAACTAACTCTATAAAATGAAGAGGCTGAATTGGAGATTATCACACTGTGCCTAAATAAAAATGACAAATACAATGCAAATAAAAAAATACTTGAAAGAAATTAAACTACCAAAAAGAAAAAAGTCTTTTTTGTTATATTCTAATGCTGATGAAAATCACATCACTAAATCATCGCGAAAACTAATGCCCAAAAAATCTTTCTGTTAATTATGTGTTAGAGATTAAGATAACTAAAAAAAAAAAAAAAAAAAAAAAAAAAAGAAAGAGAGAGAGAGAGAGAGAAAATTATTCACTGCCGATCTGAGTTTTCAAAATTACACACAATGTTTCATCAAAACACTAAAATAATAATAATTAAAAAAAAAGTAATGTACATCTTGCTGGTTCATTATTACAACTATAGAGGCACTTAGTTACAAATAAATATCATATTTGATTGATTCCACATAAAGGTCCCCCTCTCCAAAGGCAGATTGTGAACAGTTACAGTCTGTCTCCATTAATCTATACTCAGGCCAGATGTGGTGGTCTCTTTATTATGGAGTCACTCTCTTTATTACGGTCACCTAATAGGTGGGCCACCATTGCCTCCTATGAAGGGACGGACAGTTACTACCATGCCTTCTCCGGGATTTGAGCCCAGGCCCTTTGGTATCGCAGTCAGGCTTCCCTAACCACTATAACTTCTGGGCGGCTGATTTCACATAAAGTTCATCAAGAAATTTTAAGATGACAATGTGAAACTTTAAAAAAACCTCATACAGTTTTATTTGACAATGCCCCATCTTGTATCTAAAAATTTAAAAGGATCTAACGTGAAAATGGGAAGACAGATGTTAAGTTATGAAAAATGAAAGCAACTTCTTAATTTTCTATGAATTTAAAAGTTTATTAATATATTTAATCATGAGAATAATTTGAATAGCTTTTCCAAAAATTATTTCTCAATGTAAAAAATTTTTTATATATAGTTTCATGTAAAGTAAAGGAAACGGGTTATTAAACACTAATTTTAACATGCATGATAGCTTAAGTAATTATCTAAAATTGTACTAAAAATTATGATGTTAGGAAGTTTTTTCCTCCTATTTTTTTCCCTAAAGTTAGGTTTCGCAGACAGAAAATCCCCGGCCGGGTGAAATGATTCCTTTTTTACTCCTATCCACTCCCCAGGAAATGTCTTAAACAAAGGCATGCCATTTCAAAAGGGTTAAATAATCTTCTAAGGTCAGCGTTATATTATTCTCAATCCATTCTTCTTCCAAATCATTGTGATTACAGTACGTAATTACAGTTCGTAATCCGGACTCGTTGGGACTTCTGCGTTTCCAGATTAGGGGTTTTTCCGGATTACAGATCATCAATTTAAATCTGGTACTATGGCATGCAGAAATTATACAATTAAAAATATGAAATCATAATTTATGAAATAAAAGACAATTATGATCTAAAGGGTATCAAAATTTGCAAAAAAAAGCTTAATACTTATTTGTTTACTTTATTAAACATTTCTTTCAATGTAAGTTGTTTAAAGATGCTTCCACAAAAAATTCAAAAAGTTCCTTTTTCTTGTGTCATATATAGTGGATTTCCAATGCCATACTTTTTGCATAATTTTGAGACGGGTAGATCTTTATCCATTTTTTGCAGCAATTCCACTTTTTGTTTGATGGACATCGAAACATGCTTTTGCTTTGCAGATCCTTTGGCAGCTCCAGAATTGGAAACTCTTTTTTGACATAATCGAAAGTTCAAGCTTAATTTTTATAAAATTGTTCTAACAGTCTGCAAAAAATAATAAGCCAGATCCAATTAGAAGATTAAGGAACAGCGCAATCTGCAACATTAACTGAAATGCCTCAGATAATTTTAGCCTAGCTTATACCGTCCGTTTTACATTAAACGTGCATGCGTAAACTCACATGCACATGCATAAACGCAGTCCTTGATGCTTTCGTGAAAAAGGTCTTCTCATCTAAACAGTTCTTGATGCTTTTATGAAAAGGGTCTTCTCCACTAAACAATAACATTGCTACCTTTTCTCTCCTCATCACTTTCCATTTATGCCATCCACTCTCTTTAGATAAGGTAGAACTAAATTAAATTTTTGTCTTTTTTTATCTGTATAATATTTTGTTTACTTTTTATGTTTTAGATTTAATGATTTTTGTATCATAAATTTGAAGAAATCCTCTGTAGTCCAGGAACAGATTAATCTATTTTACATTAATTCCTAGAAGGAACATAGTTTTGGTTTAGAAGCATTTTACCAAATAAACACCCTTCAGGAACAAATTATTCATAATTAGAGGTTTCACTAAACTTAAAAGGCATACTAGTAGAGATAAAATATACTGAAGCAAACTTCACTTCACATAAATATATGTTCCATAATAGAAATATATTTACCTACTGTTATATTTTAACTAGTAGAGATAAAATATACTGAAGCAAACTTCACTTCACATAAATATATGTTCCATAACAGAAATATATTTACCTACTGTTATATTTTAATTAAAAAAAAAAAAAAAAAAACTATGATTTGCATACAAATCTCTTATTTAATGAAGTTTCTAGTAATTTTTTACAGAAATCATTATACTGAACAGTAATACAGGAAAAAATATATAAACAAGGCTATTTTATTAAGACTAAGATAGAAAGAAAGACTAATGCTTACAATAAGAGTCGCTATTTCCTGATTTCCATGAGAAATAGAACCAGTGACGGTTATTATCAGACCATGAACTTGAAGTCTTTGCCTTCCTTCGTATTACTGTAATAAATCAGAATTAAATAAAACATCATTCTATCAAAAAAATGTTAGATATTCTACAGTCATTTCTTTTATACAACAAGAAATTATTGTAGTTAAATTGCCTTCATTCTTATTTCTGACTTACATTTATTTGTAAACACAACAAGGGAGGAAGGTTGACATTTAAAGCTTTGTTATGGGTTATAAAAATCATAATGAAGAAAAACTTGGATACTTGGCAGATTCACTATAACAGGTTCTAAATTTTGTCATCAGATAGCAAAGCTCAAATAAAAATACTTTGACCAACACTACAGAAACTCAGTGCATCTTCTGTTGGGATGTAAAATAGTCAGTATGCAAATGCTTCCTTAGAAATTATTAATACAGTGATACTATTGAACAGTGAACCCATTCTGCATATACTTACACATCTTCAAAAGACGTCTGAATTGGTGATAAACCACATTGGAAAATTACCAAACATTTTAAACCTATTGATGGAAAACTCTGGACCCAGAAGTTGTTAACAAAAAAGTCTTTGTACACAATATGAACATTTATGTTCATTACAAGGGGATGCACAACTTTCAAACTTAAAATACGAACACCAAAAGTTTCCTCACATGAAAACCAGAGTTTCTGCGAGGTTTTCACATTGTTTGGTAATGACATTTAAAAAAAAATTCAAGCTGGCCTAACTTCCTTTTATAATAAATGATTTAGATTACTGAACTACCGTAATTTCCGGAAGAAACGCTGTGGCGTTTACGTGTTTGAAACTTAAATTTTCAGCGGATGCGGTGTTTAGGTGCACTAAAAATAAAATATTTCCTATAATGGTCATTGTACATAGTTTGAATAACCTTGTCATCGTACACAGTTTAGATGGCCTTGTCATCGTACATAGACTGGTGCCGTTCCCACACAAAAGACCACTCAGTCTCAGTTGCTTTTTGCGAATGTTATTTTGTTTATATTCTTTCCCTTGAACAGACCTACATGCCTTATTCACCCTAAACGGGATCTCAGAACAATAACATTCTTTTCCCTTTCAAATCAGCATTCTCATCAGTTTGAATAGAGTCTCTCCTCTACCATTCGATGAATCTTCCAGAACCCATCTTGTCCCCACCCCTGCCTTTTCTGCAATTTTGTTTCAAAGGCGGACAAGACTCCACCTGACTCACAATAACGAACACTGACGTATTTTCCCTTCTGCATGAATTGATTTTTCTTGGCATTCTGCCAAATATAGACCCCATCAGTTTGCGTACCAGTACTTGTTGAATAGTTAAGTAAGAAGGGAGCAGAACAACATTTTTTAAAATGGCACCTAAACGTCACAGAAGCTATACTGCTGGTTTTAAGCTTAATGTAATTTCACGTGTTGAACAAATTGGAAATAAAGCAGCAGCTCGAGAGTTTGAAGTGGACGAGAGATGTATTTGATGTTGGAGAACTGAAAAAAAAAAAGAACTTAAAAATATGCCACAACAGAATACGAGCCAAAAGAAGTGGTACTGTAAGGTGGCCGAATCCAGAGGATGACCTTTGCAAACTGGATAAAGGAGCAACGAGGAAAGGGAATGGCAATTTCGACTGTAAAAAATTTGCTTACAAGCAAAATTTATAGCAAAAACAATGAACATAAATGATTTCAAAGAGGGCCTTGCGGGTAGCAGATTTATGAAAAAGAAAAAATATTTCTGTCGTACTAGAACAACAGTCGGCAACAATTACCAATGGACTGGCAGGATAAAAAGGCATCTTTTCTAAAAATATGTGACAGATATTATTGACAAAAAAAACTTCTTCTTCGGGCACAGATAAAATATGGATGAAACGCCGTTAGCTTTCGACTCCCTTGCAAACAGAACTGTTGATGAAACTGGTGCAAAAACTGTATCTGTGCTTACAACGGGGCATGAAAGAATGTCATTTACATGTGAGTTAGAGCTTGTGCTGCAAATGGTGACAAGCTAAAGCCGATGGTCACTTTTAAATGAACAAGTATTCCGAAGGGAGATTTTCCTAATGATGTAATTATTTGTGCAAACAAGAATGGCTGGATGTGCGAAACAATCCTGCATGAGTGGCTATAAAAAGTTTGGCAGTGTCGTAAGGGATCTTTTTTCCAACCAAAAGGGTGATTGATAATAAATTCCATGCGTGCTCATTTACTTGAGTCAGTGAAAACCAGATGTCAAAAATTGTCTACGACTGTAGCAATTCCTGGTGGTTTGTCAAAAATCTTACAACCATTAGATTTGCTGGGTGATAAATCCTTCAAAGCTGAAGTCCGAAAGCGGTGAGATTGTTGGATGAGTAAAGGATTGCATACATATACCAAAAGCGGTAAAATGCGTAGAGCATCTTATAAAAAAGTTGCAAAGTGGGTAGAAAGTGCGTGGAAATCGGTAAAAAAACATCGTCAATAATAGCAGGGTTCAAAGAAGCTGAAATTATATCCTTAGATAAAGAGACTGTAAGCCAAGAGGATAAATGATCTGGAAGACTTGGACTTAGATCAGGATTTACTACATCTTTTTAATTCAGATAGTGAAGAATCAGGTTTTGATAGCTTCATATGATGTATAGTTTGCTGTAATTCTTTTTGTAAGTAAAATTTAAAATTTCCTTTTGTCATCCAAATTTAATATTTCGTTGTTGCAGCATTTTTTATAATATAGTCTGAGTATTACAAATATGGACTTCTTTAGTGGGTTAGATAAGTATATACGTGAAGGTAAATATATTTTCCACATTTCTTACCTTTAATTTATTTTTGAGTTATGGTTTCATTTCATGCATTTTTCATAACTGATGTGTCATATACCAGGACACATTAAGACACAAAAACATGCCGAACAAATACTAATTCAGAAGTCAAACAACAAAAATCAGCATTATATTTTCAAATTTTCACAGGACTAGTTTCGATGGTTTTACCAAACCACCATCGTTAGCTGCAAAAGCGTAAATAATTTGAAAATATAATGCTGATTTTTGTTGTTTGACTTCTGAATTAGTATCAGGACACATGTTGAGATTTTGCATCTATACGACCCACGACGATGTCACGTGCAATTTAATCTATTGTGGTGTTTACGCTGATGCGGTGTTTCTCTGTAATTTTAATATTTTTCCTGCCATTTTTCTCGAATGCGGCGTTTACGCTGATGAGGCCTTTCTTCCAGAAATTATGGTATTTATAAGATTTTGCTGTGAAATATTTCAGTATTTAATTAGATATTCTATATTTTTAGTTGTTCGGTTAATTTCACTTTGTAATTTTTCATACTTCTATTGAGAAAATCTAGAGCATGGATGAGAAGTTCTTGTTTATCAAAAAGTGTTTTTAAATGCACCAAAAAGAAAAAAAAATTATGTTCTACATGCATATTTTGTGTGGATAAATATAGTAACATACTACAGTCAAAAGTCGTTAATCCGGACTCGTCGGGACTTGGCGATTCCGGATTATCGATTTTTCCGGATTATAGATCATCAGTTTAAATCTGGTAAGATGGCATGCAGAAATTATAAAATTAAAAATATGAAACCGTAATTTATGAAATAAAGAGCAATTATGATCTAAAAGGTATCAAAATTTACAAAAAGAAAAAGCTAAATATTTATTTGTTTACTTTATTAAACATTTCTTTCAATGTAAGTTGTTTAATTTTCTCCATTTCATGTGATAATACTTTCTCATTAATTCTATTAAACAGACATAGTTTCTTGTTTAGTTACAAAGTTCCGCTGTTCAAGTCCTATAATTGCTGTGTCAAAAATATCGACTAATTTGTCAATCGAAATTTTTTCGTTTTCAATAACCTCCGAGTCACTTTATTCACTATCGGAAGCAAATTATAATGACAAGGAACTTGATTTAAATCATATCAAAGACTGAGTACATTGAGATGAAATACTACATTTAGTAAAGAATTATAAGCCAAATAAAATAAAAACATCTGCTCTGAAGATAACGATAGTGCTGACAGATCAACTTCCAATTCATTGCACGCCGTGTCGTTCCCTCCCCCCGCAGAGCAGTGTGAAATTGATAAACATATTTCGGAATGATTAGATAATCAAAGGATATATGCCTTTATCCGTTTTTTTGCAGCAATTCCACTTTCTGTTTAATGGATTTCGAAAAATACTTTCGCTTTGTAGATCCTTTACGTATTAATAAATATATATTGGAAATTCTAGTTGACATAATCGGAAGTTCAAGCTTACTTTTATAAAATTGCTCTAACAGTCTGCAAGAAATAATAAGCTGGATCCAATTCGAAGATTAAGAAACAACGCAATCTGCAACATTAACTGAAATAAATAATTAGATAGTTTTAGTTTATACCGTCCGTTATATATTAAACGTGCATGCGTAAACGTATTATGCGCATGCGCACAAGTATATTCACAGTCGTAAAGGTCTTACACGCACGTGTAAACGCCACGCATGCGTAGAAAGTTTTTAGCTTTGAGGTCCGGAATATAGATCATTCCGGATTATGGGTGTCCGAATTAACGAATTTTGACTGTATTTACTGATGCAAAACAAAATTAAATACAAATATCAACTGATTAAGCATGGCCAAATCCTTAAAAAGATTCCACAAATGACTATGGTTCATTAAGACATTTCAGATCAAATAAAATTTAATAAGAAAAATTACACTAAAAATCAATAGGGGTAAGAAAATAGAGTTTGCACAATGAAAAATTCAATAAATTTCATTTACTGCTGGAAACATTTTCTTTGGTGCAGGCAAAAAAATAAAATAAAATAAAAAAAAAAAAAACAGAAGATTCTGCAATTTACTGGGAAATTAGGTGAAAAACAAGGAGTTTCCTGGTTTACCAGGAGACTTGTTTGCCATGCCAATTGACCACCATGGACATTACTTAAACAATCTGATTCCCCCCCCATCAGTATATGTGTATGTGTTGCACAGATTACACAGATTTGTTTACTCTATTGAAAAAATGTACCCAATCACTTGCTAAGAGTTATCCATTGTTATTCAGCACAGGAATTATGTGAATGTACGAATATCCATTTTATTATACATTATCTGAAGTAGTATGTACACCTTGTACAAATATACTAGAGTACATTGTGTTCATTTTTGACATTAGTCTGGTTGTATGTTGGAAAGCCTTTATTTCATCATAACATTTTTGATGGTCGCCAAATGCACTTTTGTTCTGCTAATAAGACTTTTTTTCTAACTTCATTTGTCAGAAATACTACATCAGAACAAAGAAACATGTATGATTATGAACCGCTTGCTTTGTTTTTATGATACAGCATATGAAATATTAAGCAAATAAGTTATTGCAACAGTGCCACTTATAGAAAATATTTCAAATTAACTTTTGGTTTTCATCCAATAGCAAGCATTACTTTGAAACAACTCTCATTCAAATTTCTCCTACAATGGAACAAACTTTAGACACTTACTCAAAAGCATTACATACGGATTTTTAAACTTCAACAATTTGATATCCAATGCACGATTAAAACTACTTCTTACTTTAATTTGGAAAACTAAAGTGTTAATATTTAATTTATTTATACTGTCAATGTTCATTATAATGATTGCTCCATAACATTTACTGTAGCAGAGTCCACACTTATCAGAGTATATTAAATCACTTTCATTACAGTGACCACACATAAGAATGCTCTTTTTTTTAAAGGCATGAAGGATATCAATTATACATAGGTAGCAATAGGATAAACATTTACATTTATAACTAAGCTAAGCTAGCTTTACACTAAGAAAGCATAAGACAAGTAAAAATGCTGAAAGAATTGCAAAGAAATATGAAGAACTTTAGACTTCATTTTTTCCATACAAAAATACTTTTTTAGTGCAAAATTAAATTTAACTGAAAATGTAAACTGATTTGCTTACTACTTCCCGATTCCCCTGAACCATGACCAAAAAGATATCAGAATCATTGGTGACTTTGGGAAGAAATGGTTGAGTATTTCTACATCTACTTCAATGATATATTCAGTGCTGCCTTTTTTTTCTGCTTTTCTATACACTTCTCAATTCCCACCCCCCTGCACTCTCCCATGTACACAACAATCTGTTTTAACTAAAAAGAAAAAATCAGACAAACTCGGCACTGTAAAACATTTTAGCACCAAAACCCTAATATATGAAAGAAAAAAAAGAGGTGCAACCTTTATAAGTGAGTCATGTTAGGCTCTATGTATAAATAAAGCTATGCTCAAGATTTCATAGAAGATGGTGAAAATTGCAGTATGCAGTCCACTGCTATGCTAGAATGCTGAAATTCCCATATTAGGAATTATAATATGCAGTCATTCAGCAAAAACATTCAAATGTCTGGGAGACACTAAGCACATACCTGGGTTGCCACATAATTTTTTTTTGGCAACATGGCATATTGCCTCATCAGTATCTTTTATGGCTTTTTGGTCATGCCTCATCAGTACTTTTTATAGCTTTTTGGTCAGAGTGTGAATAATCAGAAAGTACAAAAAGTGGAATTGCTGCAAAAAATGGATAAAGGCATATCCTTTGTTTCTCTAACCATTCCGAAATCTGTTTATCAATTTCACGCTGCGGGAGGGAAAACTCCAAAACGCCGCGGCGCGCAATGAATTGGAAGTTAATCTGTCAGCACTATCCTTATCTTCAGGGCAGATGTTTTTATTTTATTCAGCTTACATTTCCTTACTAAATGTAGTATTTCATCTCGATGTATTCCGTCTTTGATATGATTTAAATCAAATTCCTCGTCATTATAAATATCAGGAGTACACATCAAATAGTTATCTGGTTGCAATTTTCTAATTTCGACTATGCATAACGTATGCTTTACACATGCGCGCGCTGAAAGAAATGTTTAATAAAGTAAACAAATAAATATTAAGCTTTCTTTTTGTAAACCCTTTGATTTGATCATAAATGGCTTCGTTATTTCATAAATTCAGTTTCATATTTTTAATTTTATAATTTCTGCATGCCATCTTACCAGATTTAAACTGATGATCTATAATACGGAAAAATCGATAATCCGGAATCGATGAAGTCCCAACAAGTCTGGATTAAAGACTTTTGACTGTATATCTTTCTATAACTTGGTCAATAGTGTTTAAGTTATATGTAAAAAGAGTAAAAATAAAAAGTATATATTAATAATACAAGCAGTTGAGTAGATCTACATAAGTAAATTATTAAAAGCAATTAGCTTAAGAAGCAGTTATTTGATGAATTTCATTACAATTAAAATTAGCATTTGCTAGGCTATGTCAAAAGGAATTCATAATTATACAAATGAATAATACTTTATATTACTCTTACCAGTACTTCCTATCTTTTCTTCGACTAACAATGAACTGTCTTCTGTTAATCCAATCAAAATGTATTTCCTGTAAAAATATTATAATAAAAATATACCTAATGTAATAAATAAGAAAAATTCAAATCATTACATGACGATAATAAAAAATCAAATACCTTTCATGAAACTGAACAAACAATAAAACCTGAAAAGATGTACTAGTTGAATCTGTTGAAAATGCTAACCGAACAGCTACATTTTCTTCCATTTCTTTCAATATTTCTTCATTGTCAAATGAATACATAACCATACTGTTGCCATCAAAATTTCCTCCAATATCTGAAAAATTGAAAAATTAGATATGCAATACATAACAGCTCCAAAAATTCAAATTTTAAACGAGTCTTAAAACTAAAAATGCAATTTAAAAACACTTCTGATCTTATATTTATTAGAAAATTACACCCATTAAAGGAATAATTCTTGAATATAGCTATTTCAATTCAGCATTCTGATATACAATAAAATTATTATCCCTGAAACAAAATAATTGTCATCATGTGTGTATTATATTAACCCTTGAAGGAAACAGAGATTTTTACTTGTAACGTAATACGTTCCTTTATGCATATTATTTTATTCTTAAAAATATGCCACTATTGTGAAGAAATTAATATAAGCTACAATGTCCATATTATTATTCCTTGTTTTGCACAATGTAAAGGAGTTTTCTTTGGAAAATGCAATGCTCCAGGATTGTTAGAAATATTTTCTCATCACCCAGCTTTATTGATGCACAGTAGCATCTAAAGTTATATTCAAAATACTCATATAATTTGAAAATGAACATATAACGGAACTACAATTACACATTTAGTCACTTTACAGATTCAGAAAGCTTGGCACAGTGTGTAACACCAGCACCAACATTCCTTTATGATGTTAACTTTAGATTTCTCTTCTTTATCTTAACTGCTCTGAGTATTATATCATGACGTTTTGTGTTCATCCATGTAGCTCCTTTAAAAAAAAGCAGGGAAACAATGCTTTGAATAGAGTCCATAATATAAACTGTGTCAGAGGCTGAGTTCATCTCTCAGTTGGGCACTTTGGATGAAAGGAGCATTAAGTAAGTATTAAATTTCCTAAAAGATTATTCAAGACTTTTATTGGAATACTTACTATAACGATGAAAATGGCTAATGATGATTGACAGGCGTTAAAGAGTTTGGAGAAAAAAAGGTGCAGTTTCTTTTCTTCTAGTTCTTAATTCACAACATTTCAGCAGCATATTGAATAATGCAATAAGATTAGTACATTACAGAATTTATACTATATAAAGAATGTTTTTTCACAAAATTTCATATTTTTTTCAGTTTTTTAAAAACGTTTTACACAAACATTTGCTTATTATTTTTTAACTACATTCATCTAGAAAAAATAAGCAACACATGCTAAAATAAAAGGCAAGAATGTAAAAAGGGGAATTAAAACATACAAGTTACATATGAGGTAGAGACAGCATCGCAAAACGCAGAGAGACAACCATAATTAACATAAAGCACAATCCCACAGTCACATCACAACGTCTTAAAAAGGGGCATACCAAACCTATGCATAAGTTCACAAGCAGTGAAAGTTCCATGCAATCTCAGATAGCCAAAGCGGAAAGCATGAGCCGAAGACACCATTTGCATAAGAAATGTGTAGGAGGGCTGTCAGGATGTTGCAAGCTGATACAAGATAATACACAGTTGCGAGAGAACTGAATGTGCATCACAATGTCATCAATAGGTTGTGAGGTCATTACCAAAGGGATCAAAACCTCCGTAGAAGTAGTGAATCTGAATGCTGGAGGATTACCACAATGGCAGATGATAGCTTCCTGTTGCTATGTACAAGATGCTGTAGATCACCATCAGCATGATAGCTGGTGTTGCATCTCTCTGCTGCAGGAGGACAGCTAATACCCCACTAAACTGAGTCACAATGACTGCATGAAGGTGAAATGTACATAGGAAGATCAGTGGTTTATGTTCTTTTATTGCCATTGCATGTAACAGCGCGGTGGAATTGGGCCTCTTAACATTACAGTTTGACACCAGCAGAGTACAGCTATGCACTCTATACATATATGAGGTCGATTTAACACCCAGAACTATTCCCGAACAGTAATTTTTATGGCAAAAGCCAGAGACACGCTATCAAGCACCAAACATTGTTGAAAGAAATCATTGCAGAGGAGGATGCTTACTTGTGTGGACTGGGATAGCAATGAACAGACACACTGATCTTTGTAAGATTCCAGGTGGTCACAACCATCCAATATCACAACAAAATCCTGTGTGTCATTTTATCACCGCAATGGCGACCAAGGCGATATTTATGGATGATAAACGCCCACTCGCAAAGAGCTCCAGTGGTGCGGAGTTATCTGGAAAGTGAAACCATTCCACATCTGCCTTAGCCTGCTAGATCACTGGACAGACCATATGTGGGAAATATTGGGACAAAGGATAGCAGGTTGCAATGTTCTGCCAGGCACCCTCCACATGCTCCGACATGCATTACTACAGGAATGAGCACTACTCCCACAACAAGTGATCTATGATACTATTGGCAGTTTGCCTGCCCATTGGTTAAGCATGCATTTCAGCTAGAGGGTAATATACCTATTATTAGTGTGACATTTGTCATAATGCAAGTGCTTTTGTATGTCTTTACTTAACTGCTTGCTATGTGGTCTAGTAATGCCACACCAACCTCTTGGATCAATTTCATGCATTCAATTAAATAGTTTCTGTTTTTTTAGCAGAAGAATATTTAAAAATCATTCATAAAGTAATTTACTGCAAAAGCTGAAGCAACAAATGACATGCACCAAAACTTCCATATATTTGAGGATAGAAAAATTCAGGAGAAACTTATGTATAATGCAACCCTTAAGTAATACTGCATGCAGCTAATCATTTCAGAGCAAGCATGACTGAAAATCACTGTCATGGAATAGATATTACAGAGTTTAAATAAAAAAGAGTACAGTTATTGGTGTGTATCAAAGACAGATTTGCAAGAAGCTAAAAGTCACTGGCACAGGACAATGAATTGGTGACACATAAATAAATGTCACAAATATAGCAGTAAACATTAACATTTTGGAAAATATGTGGTCAAAACTCGGTCCTAAATGATCATAAGCAATAATCTCTAAAATGATCAGTGAAATCAAATTACAAAAAACCTACTGTAGAACTGTAAGAGTGATATTCAGCTTGGGAACCAAAACAGTTCCTTGTCCTGCAAACACATATTAAACCACAGGGTTAAAATTAAAAATTACATTGTAAAAAGAAAGGAACTTTTCAGTGAGACTAATAATACATAAATAAAACCCTCCCAAAACTAGTTTGGGAATATAAAAGACTGAACTTAGCAATGACAGAAGAAAGCATCATGATCTAGGTGTTTCTGTTTAGCTGGATTAAGCTCTGTACATCAATAAATTGAAGACAGTTGAATACTAGAATATACTACATGATAATTTTGTTCTACAATGGATTTCCCTCTCTCTGAAGAAATGTTACAGTCCAAGAAAAAATGCAATGATTCATGACTTCAAATGTTTAAATACTACAGTTACACATTCATCAAGAAGAGATATTCTTCATACACACTGGCTATTACAAAGTTCTGACCTTAATCTAAATGAGGACGAGAGGGATACATTATGAGAAACACCTCAGGAAAAAATTGACTCTTCTTGCATCAAACAAAAATCTTGGAGAATTATTGATACCATCTGGTTAAAATAAATTCATCAAAACAATGTTACCATAATATTCCACTGGCAGTACATTGTAATTTGCTCTAAAGGTAGTCCAAGGAAATATAAAAAAGTGCACAACCTTTTCTGTGGGAAGGCAGATAGTGCATAATTCTGACAATGTTTATAAAAAAATACTCCAATTAGATGATGATGGACTTTTATATTATCTCAAACTTCCTTACAAATTTAAATCTTCAATTTAAAGGCAATACACAGAGCAAAACATATTTATACAAATTTCTGAGTAGTCAGCTATAAATAAGTTTTCTAATCTCAGGAATAAAAATATGTTTAAATTATATTTTTAACTAAAAGTAACTTCAAATATTTTTCATCAAGAGCTAGCTAGGATTATTTAAAACATTATGAGGGTATGAGTTGTGAAATAATATCATAAGATTTTGCTTTTGTTGGAAAAGGAAAGGAAAATTTATTTACACAAAACACATCAATATTATAAATAAAAGCAAACAAGCAGAGAATACAGCGGAATTTCATTAAACACTAAGAAGAATGAATGCATATTATGACTAAAAATTATTCGATGATAGGGAAAAAATACTTCCACTGACATATAACCAAAACACATAATGGGACCAAAAAAGCATTTTGCAATAAATTGTGAAATTTAAGCCCTATTAATTTAAATAAAAAGAATTTCAATGTGCTTCAAAGAAAGTGTGGTTTAACTGTCAAAAGAAAAATTTATCCAACCAGTTTTTGCTAATTAGAAAGGACCTATTCACCCTTAAAATGCACTGAGCTACTTTAAATTACATTTAATGCTAAGTTAAATTTTATAATTTACTAAAATGTAATGTTTTAGAAAACATCCTTAAAATATCTGACTATTAAAAAGGTAATTTTTTATGTGAAACTTCTAAACTGTTTTTAATAAAATATAACTTTACTGTCCATTTTCTTAAATAAAAACTATAAATGATTTTTTATGACTATCTTGGAATTTCAGTGCTTCTCACCTTTTTAAAATACGTAAGTAAAAAGCACCATTATAATTGTTCATATAGTTAATCTAAATTTATAAAGGGGATGGGTCAAAAACAATTTTTTAAAGCACTCGCACTAATACACACTTCTCAAAAGTCATTTGAGAAGAGTGTATTTGTCGTATATTATAAACTTACTCATACACAGTATTTCCGACGAAGAGATACTTAATTTTAGAAATATTTTGCAGATTTGTTATTTGCATAAATCATTTTTACTATCTTCACATATTCATATCATTTTCCTCTTCAGCGATTTACAAAGAAAGACTGTATCCTAATTATAATTATGATTAAACACAGCATGAATACTAACAGATAAAAATTAATTTTGTGTCAGATTTTATTGTTATTCAGTTCTATTATATTGTTTACATATTACTTTAATAAAAGAATATACTTTTCATTTCTCTTTCTCAGCATTGTGCATTTGATATGCACACATTCACTTTTGTTATTTCCTTGTTTTAATGCATAACAGAATTCAGGACCTTTCTGGAAAGATGAGTGAACAACAGAAAACTATTTCATGCAATCGGCATTCAATTTAAATTATTACTAACAAAAAACTTGACACTTTTAGTATCCTATTCCAAATACAGATGAGCACCTTAAACAGGAAATAACCTTTCTGACATGCCTCTCCAGTGTAGGATGTTAGTGAGCAGTCACATGAAGTGGTGTTTTGCTTCCAGTTCTCAATGCAAAGACCTTGGTTTTGGCAAGGCTGACTATCACACAACATTTTACATCCAGGAATTAAAATACCTAAAAATTTAAGAGACAATATTTACAAATGAAATACATTTAATTCAAATTCCTTCTTATTTCATAATATATATATATATATATATTTAACAAATATTCTCTATTCGTATACAGCAAATATAAAATTAAAATTTAATTAAGAAATTTAAATGGCAAAGAAATAAAAATAATTATTATTGCTGCAAACTAATTTACAGTAACATTTAAATTCTAAGAGCATATGTAAATTAATTGCACATATCTAAAACCATGAAAAAATATATTATTCCAAAAAATTGCATAAGTGAATAATTGTTGAGCAGGCAGGAGACAAAACTTATCATGGGGAAGTTGCCCTCAAACCTAACTCTTCAATTACTCTATTCATGTTTCATCATCCATATAGGCAAGGGTAAAAGTAAAATTCAAAACTAAAAGTAAAACCAAATGTTGTGAAATACTAAAAAAGGAAATTTAAACAGTGGGATTTTGATAAAATAGCAAGTAAATGACAAAAGTTAAAATTAAGTCAATTAAGAGTAGAAAACCAAAGTAATTTAGAAACTCTTCCCTACTGGAAACTTCCCCAATACAAATTATGCATGTACACCTTATAAAATATAAAAATAAAAATAATAATAATATACATACAAAATCCGAGATCCAGATGTCCAATATCTGGCATGACCTAAAATCCGGACCTCAAAGCCACCAACTGCTTTAGGCACGTGCATTTGTTTCCCCCCCTCCCCAATAAAACATGTGGAGAGTCCAGATTTTTAATTTCACTTTGGCACTAAATAAAATACTTCATTATTGAAGTAACAATCATTTTAACATTAATTTGTGTGATCAATAAATAATTTGACTCTGTAGCTGCATATTTTCTTGGCATACATCTCAAACCGAAACATTCTACATAAAAACATCATAAATTTTAAACCTACTAATATCTTATATCCTTGACACCAACCTGGAGAATCATTATTTATTATATTTTGCTTCCATTACTGCTTGTTTATCAATACATGACAACTTGAGTTATGACTCATACAGCGATGCCTAAAAAATTTTTTTTTCTAATATTAGTAATTGAATAACAAAGAGTAGGGTAACCTTTTATACTGACATCACACTTGGCTATGATTACAGATTTAAGCGCCCTAAGAAATACTGACGAGGAAAAATTAAACAAAAATTTCTTTCCATATGCTAAAAATAGATTTTGTTAATGATACTCATGGGCCAAATGATTAAATTTCATGCTATTTCAATTAAGAATAACTGATTTGTTATTCACAATTTATTCTTATAAAACAAGAACCAGCACCAGAGCTCGTATGGCCGCAACAGGTGGAAGAATTTAGAGAGGACAAAATTTTTGGAATTTAGGGAAGAACCAAATAACAAAATTAAGGGAAAGCACCGAGACCCAAAATTTAGGGACAGCACAAATTTAGAACTTAGGGAGGCACTTTAGCAGAATTTAGGACCTGTAAAGTCTGCATTAGGTGGTAAGATATGGTGGTAGCACCCCATATATAGGTGGTAGCACTGGCCCTCTTAAGTATATGTGAGAATTTATTTATTCAGGACTCAGATAAGCCCTAAGCATGTGCAAGAAATAGACATAAGTATAATTACTATCTAAACTAATACAGTTAGGCTTAACTGTCTCAGTGTGAGATAGAAGAAAGATAAAATTTAGCAGAACAACTTTTCTTTCATCACTAATCTCATGATAAATAGCCAATTATGTACAGCAGACACTATTAAGCTAAGCTAAAACTATAGTGATTCCAAGGAATTTCAGTTAACATAGCTGATTGAATTACTCCTTAACTTTCTGATTTGATACAGCTTATTATTTTTTGCAAGCTGTTATTATTACAGCAGTTTTATGAAAATATTTTTGGAGGCCCCGAAGAACGTTGAGGCTCTAAGCTATAGCTCGTGTAGCTTATGCATAAATCCTGGACTGTTGGAAAGTCAACTGTATATGACATAAGAAAACAGAAAAAGGTACTTTTTGAATTTTTTTGTGGGTTCTAACACCCCACTCGCAATGAATAACAGAAAAATTATTCATTATGTTAAAAGTGATACTTATGACAAAGTAATGATTGAATGGATCAGACAGCCTCGCAGCGAAGGCCTGCCATTGGCAGATCCAACGTGAATGGCTCAAACTGAAATATTTCATGATACTTACAATTCTATTTTCATGGAACAGCTTGAAGATAGCATTATAGAAAAAGTACTGCCTGAAGAACTTTTTGTTCCCTCATATTATTATCCTCACCGCAGAGTGTTTAACGAAAATTCATCAACAAAACTTAGACCTATCTTCGATGCCTCGAGTAAACAAAAAGGTAGTCCTTCTTTAAATGATTATTTAGAAAGAGAAGCAAATACCATTGAACAATACCTGGAGTGATTCTTAAGTTCAGAGAAAAGAAACTAGGATTGATTGCTGACATAAAAAAGGCATCCTTGCAAATGTCCATTTGTACAGAAGACAAAGATTATCCGTTTTCTCTGGGAAGATGTCAAAAATAAAAAGCTCAAAGTTTTTAAACATTAAAGAGTAGTTTTCAGAGTAACTGTTTATCCTTAGTGAAGGATAATGTACCTATATTATTCTTTCCTCCAAATTGTACGTCCATCATTCAGCCTATGGATATCGGAATAATGGGCACACTGAAATGCAAATATAAAGTAGCATTTTTAAAATTCCTGTTAAATTTCTTGAATAATGGCAAGACTGTTCAAGAATTTTTGAAATATTTTAGCATAAAAGCCTGCCATGCAAAGCAACGCAAGTTAGTGGGAGGATGTGCCTCCAGATACTTTAAAAAAATGGTTGGCATAATTAATGGCCAGCAACCATTATTTCATGGTGAGGATGATGAAAATGATAGCTGCAAATTTGACGGTTTTCGGATGTTGCAAACCAAAGATGAAATTTTCCAATTAATGGATTTTGTAAAGAAATGTGGAGAAGAGGTAATAAAGGAAGATGATTCAATAGAAGTTTTTCATTGTGCAGACAATGGCAATTAACATTAGAAAAACTTTCATTAGCAAAAGCTGACCAACACCAAAGAGTTTCTTAATGAAAGCAAGATCTGCCACTGTTCTTAACATTTGTATGAAACCTTCGTTGTCCGTCAATCCTTCAATTGATTAACGGACAGCCAAATTTGTAATATCAAGAAAGATCAAGAAAATGCTACTGATAGATGAGCTGATAGTGAAATGACAGAGAGGTTATTGCAAATGAAAAAAATTTCCATTCACAAGTTAGTTGGAATTTTTCACACAGCAGTTACAGGACTTAAACAATGGAACTTTGTAATGAACAAGAAATTATGTCTGTCTATATAATAATAATTAAAAAAAAAAATATTAGCTCAAACGAAACAATTTACATTGAAAGAAATGTTTAATAAAGAAAAGAAATAAATATTAAGCTTTCTTAATTACCCTTTAGATAATAAATGCTTCATTATTTCATAAATCATGATTTCATATTTTTAATTTTATAATTTCTTTATGCTATCTTACTAGATTTAAACTGATAGTCTAATACCTGGAAAAAGATACTTACGGAAAATCCTGTCGACCACAAGAGATGGCACCAATCGCGCCAAATAATAATAATAAAAAAATAAATAAATAAAAAAAAAAAAAACATTTACTAAATAGAAGAAAAAACGTCTATTCTTATTTTTCTTTCAATTTTATTATATTATCATTTCTTTATATTTAATTTTTCATTAAAACTAGCTAGGTTTAAATTTAAATACTTTTTTTTCGCTATTCAACAGCATGCTCTACTGTAGTAGGCAGGTCCCAAATTTTAATCTTTTTATGTATCATAGAAGGGAAAAAAGGAGTCTTTACTCAAGAATAATAACTAACATGTGTAATCAAGGTTACACCAAACCCAGCGTGTTTGAAGAAGACTTTTTCATTTTTGGCGAAAAATCGCTTAGTTTGGTGTCTTTTCTTTAATAGGGAAAAATGGTTGATCTGATTTTCCGTAAGAACCTGGAAAAATCCCAAATCCAGAATCACCGAAGTCCTGATGAATCCGGATCTCAGATTTTGTATTGTATGTATATAAGGGATAAAGAAAAATGTATTCAAATATTATTTCACACTACTTTACTGATTAGAATAATTACCATATTTTTCATCAGGATTAGATGTTTGTGCTGCTGCTTCTAAATCAAAAACTTCATCTCCAATAACAAAACCTTGGATGCACCCAGTAAAACCATATTTTGTGAAATTAGTTTCTGTTCCACTACCAACATGTCCAAGAAACATTTCACTGTGATCTATAGTTCTGTATGTACCTCTTGATGGAAAAATAATCTCTGAAAATAATAATAATTATTATTAAAACATTTTTAGAACTGTCTAACTTATTTCATACTTTCCAAACTACAATACTAAAAAATCAGGAATTTTTTTTTAAACAAAATCTGGAGAATTTTCATACATTTTTTGAATGATAAAAATATACACAAAGAAAATATACACTTTAATAATGAATTAACTTTGAATAGTAACTAATTAATATCTGAAAGTTTCCTTAAATGCAAATAGTACAAAAATATTAACATGTAAAAAAGGAATGATGAGCTGATCTCCACAAACAAACTTTAATCAGTTTTCATACAAATGCTAGGAACAGTCTCAGATCTTGCTTTCATTAAGAAAGAAACTCTTTGGTGTTGATCAGCCTTTGCTAATAAAAGTTTTTCTAATGCAGTATTACTAATATTGGATCTAAATTTAGTCCTTGGTTTAGTAGCAACACTGAAAATCCTCTTGCACTCTACATTACTATGGGAAATTAACTATCAGGATAGCCAACATTATTCTAGATCAGATGTGGGCATAGCAAAGCTCGTGAGCTACATATGGCTATTGCAGTGAAGTAGTGCAGCTCTTATGATATACAAGCAGCAAATAAAATATATATATATGAAATATGGTAAACTAAAACTACTCAATGTGAGAAAGAATGTAATTTATTTCATATCTTTTTAGAAAGCTATCAGATATTTCTTTCTATCTGAAACCTGCTTTACTAGTTTTCAAATGATGAAAATATGGACTTGCATCTTTTGGAAAATCTAATTGCAGCTTTCAAACATTCCTGTATTCCAACATGTGGCTCGTTATTGACATAAAGTTTGGCCATTCCTGCTCAAGACAGTTCACTGTAATTAAAAATTCCATCAGCAACTTTTGATTTGAAAATTAAACTCCACTGGGTGTCAATCCTTGCTGCTTTTATAACTTTATCCCAGTTTATATAAGTACGTATTTTATAACTTTCAACAAAACCTTTTATCTTAACACTAGAAGCAGCTACTTCTTCCTTAAAATATGCAAGAAGTGGGTTCCACTGGCTGATGATTCTAAATAAAGATTTCTCTAAAGATAACCAGAGTGTACATTGTTGAGAATCGAGCATGTAATTGATATTATGTGCAGTTTCAATGGCATCATTGTCTTATTGTCTTAATATGTTTTGTGCAACTGGCATCACTATTATTTTCGTCATTGTATGTAAGTTCTCTTTACTTTTTTTGTTAATAAAGTCCAAAATTCAATTAGCCCTCACTCTGTTTGTTATTTTATAACAGGTTATGGGTTTTAGCGAAGTTTAACAGCGGAAATAAATTAACGATGGCAGTTAACGTATTTGAATCACGGAATTTTTTTTACTTTCGTTTTCGATTTAACACTTCCACCTGAACAGTGTGTAGGTAGACGCTACAGTGTACCGATAGCCTTTTATTTTTTCTGCATATTTCTTGGTTAATGACGACGTAATATGGAAGCTAAAAATTTTTTTCAGTGTTACCAAATTGGAAGGTTTATCCAACTGGACTGATTGGAAATTTGAAATAAACTCTTTATTTGTACTCAGCGAATGCGCGGGCATCTTCAATAATTCCCTTATCAAGCCAAAAGCTCCGTCAGAAAGCGCGAATAAAAAACGAAGCGTACGCAAAGGCGAATGCCAAAGCTGCTGTGATCATTCGCACAAATGTATCACTGAATGTGTTAAATTTGATCTGTATACATGGTAATTCTGCACTAACAATATGGAATGAGTTATTAAGTAATTTTGAGAAGGTGTCAAGAGTGAAACTGGACACTCTTCTGCAACAGTTTTTCACTTTTCGGATCGCGAAAGACGAAAGTGTAATGCAATCACTCGCACGTTTATGTACACTGTGGGTGGATCTTCAACGTGAGCAAGAGTTGAGAACCAAAGAAAAGTTGCTGAAGAACCTGCTAGCACTGCGAATATTATCTATTCTTCCTGATGACGAATATATAGAGTTCAAATCACAGTGGGACTCAATGTCAAAGATGGAAAAGATCATCTGAAAAACTGATTGAACAGATCAACATATGGTTGCAAAGAAGAAATCAAGAGCTTAGAAACAAAAGTACGATAACATTTGTGGCGACAAATGCTAATTATAGCTCAAAACATAGTGGAAGGAAAGAAATGGAGGAAGGGTGGTAAGAAACCTCAGATGTCAGCCAATCCCAACTCTTGACAACGAATAATGCCAAAACGATGAACAGGCTTAGTAAGACCAGTGATGGTGTGAAAGGTTTCAATGGCATGTGTTTTTGTAGTAATAAATCCGGGCACATTGGTAAATTTTGCCCAATTTTCCCTGACAAGACAACCATGACAAATGGCAAAACCTTCTTTGCAAATACTCAGTGCAGTGTGTTTGCTTGTCAAGAAGAATGCTTGTCAAGTAGCCGAAATGTGTGGCTTAAAGACAATGGAGCTACAGCGCACATTACGAATTCAGTTGAGTATTTCAAGACGTACCGTCACTTTGACAAACAAGCAGAAATCACAGTCGGTAACAAACAGACAATACCAGCATATGGATGTGGGGACTTTGACATGTGCGCGATGGTTGGAAATGTACAAAAATCTATTGAGCTGACTGATGTAGTACTGTACGCACCAGAAATTGGCAAAAATTTGTTATCAGCCTCAAAGGCAATGAAATGAATAATCTCGAACTTTGGTGATTAAGACGATATGATTTGCCGTTTCTTTCGCAAGGGAACCCCAGATAATATACTTTTAGAAGCCCCATGTTCATCAAATGACTCTTTGAACTACGTGCAAAACCAGTCAAGCCACAAGGGGGGTTCTGCTGCTGCAGCCTACTTGGTTGACAATGAAATGACTTTTCCTGAGACGGCAATGAAGACGACAACAAAACTGCCATTATCATTTTGGCATTGGCGACTTGGGTATCAAGGAATACAGTACGTGAAACAGTACTTGCGCCAAAATGGTATAGATTTTATCAACGATGGACTATTTTGTGAGCCATGTGCGTATGGTAAACAAAGTTGATGAACATTTAAACCAAAATGATTCAAAACACAAAAGTCTGGTGAGATAATACATGCAGACTTACTCGAATCATCAGTCTTAACAAGAGGTGGAAAGAAGTACATGTTAGTGATTAAGGACGATTACTCTAAGTTTAAACATGTAGAATTTCTGAGACATAAAGATGAAGCTGTGGATAAAATCAAGCAATTTCTTGTTTGGACCAACAAAGATGGTATAAATGTAAAAGAACTGGTCACAGACGGTGGTCGTGAGTTTGACAATGATAAATTGGTAAAACTGACTGATGATACAGGCATCATGGTAAAACTGACTGATGATACAGGCATCAAGCTGCGAATCAACTATGCCATATACACCAGAACAAAACAGATTGGTTGAAAGAGAGAATCGTACAATAATGAATGCAGTTCACACTATGATCAAGGATTCAGGCCTACCACAGTTCCTATGGGCAGAAGCAGCATCTACGGCTGTCTATGTTCTCAATTGAAACAGATCAAGTAAGACTACAGGAAAATCTCCATTTGAGGAATGGTTTGGATGCAAGCCACCAATCAACAGAATTCGAGTTTTTGGATCAGCTGCATTTGTACATGTACCAAATGTTAACAGAGGTAAATTAGATGACAAAGCTATAAAGGGTTATTTAGTTGGTTATTGTGATGACGATGGGTATCGCATTTTCATACCATCAAGGAATGATACGATAAAAAGTGCCAATGTAGTGTTGTTCAATGAACAGCAAATCGCCCCTACTTCCCAACCTTCAAAATTAGCATCTAACACCAGTCTATCAAGTGGTATGAAGTTTATTTTGGAAGATGCACATGGTGATGCAGACACACAGGGGGTTGGTGATCTGTGCACTGATGAAGATGAACCAACACAGATGACCGCATGTGCATTGCGAGACTGTTCAACTATCCAACAGCCTGTCAAATTTAATGACTACAACGTGTACAACAGTATTCTGAAGTTAGAAGAGCCTAAAACATATGACGAAGCAATGAAGTCTCCTGAATATGCCGACTGGAAACAAGCCATGGACGAAGAAATGGCTTTGCATGCCAAATATGGAACATGGCAGCTTGTTGAGCACCTAACGGACCTAAAATCCTCGACAATCGCTGGGTTTACAGAGTGAAGACAAATCCCAATGGCTCAACTGAGAGATTCAAGGCCTGTTTAGTAACAAAGGGTACCCCCACACGGTAAACATTGATAACGAAGACACATTTAGCCCGTTGTGTGGCTATGACACTATTCGAGCTCTTATTGCAACAGCAGCCAAGGAGAATCTCAACTTATATCAAATTGACGTGGAGAAGGCATTCCTTTACGGTGCCCTAACTGAGGAGATCTACATGTATCAACCCGAAGGCTATAACACAGAAGTAAGCGTGTATGCAAGATGCTTCGACCTTTATATGGCTTGAAACAAGCTGGACAATGTTGGAATGCCAAGTTTACTGACATGCTGAGGAAACATGGCATGATACAAAGTAAATCCGACAACTGCCTGTTCATACGAAATGATTATGGGCATAAGATGCTGATGGCGATTTATGTTGATGATGGCATTGTCGCTGTTCAGGCTAATGCAGCATTCTTCACCTTTATGGACGAGCTAAAGCAACATTTTAACATTCGAGTAACGGCGTTAAATTGCTTCCTTGGTCTACAAGTTGAACGTTTGAAAGACGGCTCACTCTTGCTGCACCAAGAAGCATTTTCAAAAAAGATATAAGAACAATATGGAGATGCTAAGACATCACACATCCCAGTAAAGAAGTCGAGTCTCAAGGTCCAATATGGTCAATCGAATGAGGACGGCATGATCAAGAGGCGAAGCCTTTCAGCAGTGAAATTCCATACCGATCAGTAGTTGGCACTTTGCTGTACTTGGCGATGGAGACCCAACCGAATACTGCTTATGCAGTGAGTTTGATGTCTCGA